TATTTCTCTACAGAAGATACCAATGCCTGCAGAAGTGAAAATCCCATGGAGGGATTAGGGCTCAGAAACAGGTTTCATTTTGCAAATAGTTGCTCAGGATTTTTGTGGCTGTCCTTGTTAAACAGATTAGATTTCAGATTAGATTTCAACTTTTTTTTTTTTTTTTTTTTTTTTTTTTAGTACTTTGGCACGGCCATTAGTACAACATCCTCTGAGCCATACTGCTGCTTAGCTTGGCTTCTGAGCATGGATTTCATCTCATTTCTTGTTGGCCATCCGGAAGCCAGCTTTCTAGTTTGTACTGGCTCACCACGGTTTATCCATAGTTAAGGAAGCAAAGGTAAGACAGCTCTAGTAGAGAGAAGAGAGGGGTGAGGAAAATCCACTTCATCTAAAATACTTGTTAAAGTTGGGCTGAATTGCCTTCCTAGGATGCTTGTCTTCTTGGTGAAAAATAGATTAGGTACCTGCTATTTTGGTGGCTATTTTAGTTAGGAAGGAGAAACCTCACTCAGCGATCACATCTAAGAGAAAAATAAAAGGAGGGGGAAAAAGGGCAAATTTTAATGAAAAAATAGAGGGTTAGAGTTTAGGTCCTGCCCTTTGCAAATCTTGTGCCCCGTATAAGATGGGCCAACATTTTGGGACTATGGAATCTCTATCATCAGCATGATGCTCTCTCTAGTGCTTTCAGAGCTATTAGGTTTTGATGAACAAGTGCTTATTGACTGTGATTAGTATGGTTGTAAAGCCCTGTAAGAGGTGGAGGGCTACAGCATGTGATGTGTAGTGCCTCTGGAAGAGAAAAAGGTAGCTAAACACCATAGCAAATGGTTCAAACTTTCAGCCGTGTGATTATAGGATCTAGGTTTTCTTTTGCACCCAAATCTGCCCAGTGCATTTCAGGTAAAAGTTACTGGCCTGAAAAATAGGTATTCAGAAAGGCAACGTAAAAGTCCTTTCTTCCCAACTAAATACACGAACTACTCGACTGCAAAGCCTCAGTGGTTGTGTGTTCCATTTAAAGTCCACTGAGACAGTTGTATTTTGAGACCACGAAGAAATGGAAGGGGTGAAAAGTTCATTTTCCCTTTTAGCATGCAGACACACGGGCGAGAGAGCATCGAGAGCTGCAGGTGCAACCTAGATTCCGAGTTCTGCTGCGTGCACACATTTTAAAAATGATTTGATCTTTCTGTATGAAGGCTGCCATATTCCTGGAGAATAAGTCAAAGAGGAGAGGGAACAGTCTCCAAAGTTATACCAGGAAATGGGCAGGGTGTGCACTCCTATGTATGCGCTGTGCCAAAAGAAAACCGGCCAGCCACCTATGTAGCTCTTGGAAGAGAAGTTTGATGTTTCAGTTGAAGTGGTATAAATGCAGCTGAGGGATTTGCTTTATTTAGATATTCCTCTAAGTTTACCAAACAACTTGAAGGCATTTAACAAGACCCAGCAAGCATGAAAGAGAAGAGCAGCTAATCCCATTAAATGTAAAATAGCACATAAGTAGAAAATGTTTGTTGTTAAATTCCTGCTGATAAGAAACAGAAGAGATGTTTGAGGGAGCTTTGAAAACTCAGTGGTACGTGACATTTATCCTCGATCTGAAATGGCTAAACATGCAGTGCTCCTAGGATGGCTGAACTGTGACCTTCCAGCCTGCCAGTCCAAATGCAAACACATTACCTGGTAAATCAGGCAGAAGTGAAATTTCCCGAGGAGGCTGTGGAAGCCCCTCTCCTAGGAAACGAAGGCTATTAACTCATTACGTTCTGCCCATCTCAGTCTTTTTGCATGTAAGCTCTCCACACAGCTGCAGGGATAATTGGTTTCCTTTGGCTTAGCGAGAATTAAGGAATATAATTAATATGCTTAGTTTGTATGGCAACAAACATTGAAGGTCTGGGGGGGGAAGAAATCACATAGAAATGCAGGCAAGCACCATAGTCTTTAGGTGAATAGAGATTGCAAGGTTGAAATGGTGGGCTCGTTGTGTTTGGCTGCATGATGTCAGTTGGATTTGTGATATGTTTTACTGACTTCATCTGGTGAGTGGATTTGTCTGGGCAGAACCAGATTAAAGGGTCAGTATCCTGTTCTCAATCAGATTTCAGTAATGCAGGCGTGTACGTGCAGCCTGTTAGCCTGGAAAGAGCTTTCATTCAAGGAAAAAAAGGTACTGCACTGCAAGGGTACCCTCTGTTCTTACAGGCTCTTGCAAGTTTTCTTTATTACAAAAATGGGTAATACAGAGTCATTGCCTCGTTCCCTATCTTCAGCCTAATATGGCCACATTGAAATGCCATGGCCAAATGTTAAAAAAGTGAATGGCCACATGTTAAAATAAGATGTGTCTTGGCTGTGCACTAATGGCAGTGAGATCCATTGAGTGGTGTTGTAACCTTACATGTCTCAAACCCATTTTTAGGCTGTTCACTGCTGCAGGGCCATGCCCAGCCAGAGCAAGGATGGTTCAGATGTGGTTGGAGGTCACCTTCAGCTGTTTGTGGGTTTTGTTTTATTTTCTTTTGTTTCTGCCAAGAACAGGAAAATAGCATTGGGTCTAGGCCAGAATTGTTTGGATTGAAGGCTGCACAGACTTGTTGGGAAGGAGGACTTTATTTGTCAAATAGGGCTTAATTTATTGTGTACTCTGTGGAAGTTCACATTCTATATTGCTGAAAAGAGACGAATGATAAATAATTTGGAAATAGGCCAGAACTCATTTCACATTTTCAGTGTTCACATTTGTAATTTATTGCCTCAAAGAAACAAAAGCAATATGAAATGTACCTGACCAAAATATTCCATTAAGCAGAAATGAAAGCTGGTTCGTATTAATGTATTTAGTATGAAAGGGCTTCTTAGGACATTTCCATTACCAACAACAAGCATTAAAAATAAATCTGAAGCTGAGAGTTAAGGTCATAGGAAACATACAGAACAGCTTCAGCTCACCAAAACGGAATAGAAGAACTTCTGCATTAATAATATCTTTTAAAAAATAAATAAATATATTTGAGACTCAAGAGATTAAATTAAGGTCACTAAAAGTACTTCGGCAGTTCCTGGAAAGAACATAAACTCAAAGTTAAAGCTGCTTCATCATCAGAGGCAGTCTGAGGGCAAAATGAAGAAGCTCTTCTAAATCTTGATCCAACATCATGTTATAAAAGCAGCTGTATAAACTCTTTTTAAAAGATTCCCTGTGGTAAAACTGTTACACAGGTAAAGTCAGAGGCAATGCTGATGTGTAGAGATTTCTCTGGCTCTGTAACGTGGACACACTGTGTAAGTATGAAAAAGGTGAAGAGGAATAATCTTGCCAAAAGCGTTTGTTTTGCTGCCAGGCAGGAAAGAAGCTGTCAGGCAGCAAAATGTGTCCCTTAGTTTTTGAATCAGGAAAGCCCTCTGTATGCACACAACACATGTTCTACCTCACAACACAGAAAACTGTGTGAACACCATTACCATCCCTTCTTCCCCACTGGAGATCTTGGCCTGTTTAGCCGGGCAAACCCAGTGAAGGATGCAGTGGAGAGACTTCATGAGAGCCACAAGATAAGCAGTGTTTGTGTGTTATTGCAAGAATTTGTGTGTGGCTATGAGTGTTACAAGCATGGCAGGTTAATATCGTGCTTTTAGGGTATAGATAAGAACATTTTTTCATCAGATCTGATGGCTTTAGGATCAGTGCATAAGCACTGAGTTTTCACCTGACCAGAATCCCTCAAGTACTTAAAGGGAACACTAAAGTGTACACTAAAGTGAACATGTTGTACCTACCCAATTTGGGAACTGTATAAACTACAAATACTCTTCAGAGTGTGAGAAGACACAAAATAGCAAGGTTTTAAGATTTTCCGTCATGTGAGAATATCTCATTACACTGGAAAATTGTCTTTGCTGAGGCAACGTGCATGAACTTCCCATCTTATTGGCTCACTCATGGCAAAATCACGGAAGGAAAATGAAGAACTTACATAGTGTGAGGCTAAATCTGGGGACAGAACTTATATTTGCCTGTATAAAGTGTTGCAATCTACCATATAGCAATGTTGATTCAAGAAAACGAGAGATGGTCACCAGGCTGATTTTTTTTTCCCAGCCTTTATGTTGTGACATTGCAATAGGAAAAAAGGAACTTAGTAGTGAGGAGTTTCTTAATTTGAGGACACACTGCAGTATTATTTCCTTCCAGACCATTTTTTGACAGCCCACCACAAATTTGGCACTAGCCCTTTCTGATTTCCCCCTTCACGTATAAATGAATAGGTGGAAGAGGTTTCCATCTCTCAAGAGTCACCACATTTCCTGGCAGAAGAGCAGATGGGTAGAACCTCAGCTTGAGTAACTCAGTGAATATTTCTGAGGTCAGGTTCTACATCCTGATTGTAGGAGTCCTGTGTCACACCTGTCCAGGCAAACACTACACCCGTGTATTTTGCTCCAGAGCCCTGTCTGCTGATCATACTGCAATACATACATACCAACTCAATCCCTCTATTGAGAATTCTTAATACAACTGATAGGATGGTTTTCTGTGGTACTCAGCATGGATGATGTGCATAAGTTTGACTCCCCCTGCCCTGGACACTCCTCTAACACTATCCCAAAAGATTTAGCACCTTCAAACAAACCCCTGTGCTGTGCAGCACTGATGCTTGGGTATCACGCTATACAAAACACCAGTGGGCTGTTTCATAGCAATCTCTTATTCTGAACACTTCAAATTCAGAAATAAAGAATACAGAGAGCAATGCTCTGGCACAACAGGGAATCCAAAGCACATGGAGCCAAGCGGTATGGGGGTCAATCTAGCACTGAACAGCTGGGACGTGGACTGGTCAGTAACATCCAGATAAGCAGCTAGACCACCAAGACTCAGCACAGGCATAGGCTAAAGCCACAAACTTCATTTATGAGGCTAAATACTCACTGAATCCTTGTGTATCATGACATTTTGAGCTCTTTTTGCTGTTTTTTGACTTTTTCAGAACCTGAGGCAGGAGAGGTGTCCCCCCCAGTGGGAGCTGGTGTGAACAGCAACAGCTGGACCTTTAAATTTGGACCTGGCAATTCGAAACAAGGTGGTCCTGGTGAGTTGCCAGACAAATTCATTATCCCAGGATCTCCTGCAATCATCTCCATCCGGCAGGAGCCACCAAACAGCCAAATTGACAAAAGTGACTTCATAACCTTTGGCAAGAAGGAAGAGACCAAGAAAAAGAAGAAAAAGAAGAAGGGAAACAAGACTCAGGAGAAAAAAGAAAAGGGCAACAGCACCACTGAGAACAGTGACCAGTGAGGGGTTTATAATGAAAGAACCCCCTTAGCCAGTTTTTGTAATAATGGCAGATTTCTCCTATGTAGCAACTCCCAATTTCTTCCTCCTGTTAACAAATTTCCTGTACGTACAGACTTCAAAAAATCCGCAGGAAATTCATGGTGTCTGTCTAAATTGCTTAACAGGTTTTGTCTTGAAAAGCTTTATTAAGTCTGGTGTTAACTCTTTTTCTCCACTCTGGCTTGTTTTCAGAATCTAAAAAGCAGACACAAGTTTCCTTTCTCCTACGCCGAAAAGGAGAATCTTCACAGTACAGCCAGTGAGAGGTTGGACTCTCTGCACTGTGGTTCCTGTGCTCCTGTCTTGATGACACTTACAGGGCAGGTTTAAAAGTTTTAATATTGTGCACCCTGTATCTGATTGGAAATCTTTGTGTGCAGATGTCAGCTAGGTGATAAGAAACCAGGTTGTAAGATGCAAGAAGAGCTGGTAAATACAGAACAGAGGAAATACCTAACAAACATACATGTTCAGAGATGTTCAGGCTGGGGAGGAAATGTCTGAAAGGTGACCAGACTTTTCAAACTTTGAGAAGTCACTGTGTGGGAATACTGAGTCTTACACACGACGTATTGTACACACTCCTACAAAGAAAACCTCACATTTACAGCTCTTTAAGATACCATAAATGTTATCTTTTTACCAAGCAAGCCATTGGGAACTTGTCCCTGGGAGCCCTGCATTACCCCAGCAAGGCCCTAATGCTGTAGGGAGGGCTGGGCTGACATCCCGGTATGTGACTGACTGTGATGCTCTGTGTCCCTGTTGCCACTCTTTGATTATTTTGCACATTTTGTCTCTGAAAAGGTCAGAGTTTTTCCACGACACTTATGCAAAAAGAGAGAAAAAAGAAATGTTAACTATGCTGTTTGTTATCTGAGATATTTATTTATAAAGAAATATAGCTGTAAATGTTATAGAAATATGATGCCCTTTAACCCAAACAGAAGTCAATCTAGAGCCATTATAAATTAAAATTGCTGCTACTAAAGTGCTTTAGAAAAATTGCCTGAGACATCTGTATTATATCGGCCACTTGCCAATAACAGCTTTATTCTGTCGGGTCACTTGGGGGCTGCCTCTTGCATGTTATTAATGAATACAAGAATTTAATTTTTTTGCATTAATCTGCACTTTCAATACACCTTTGCAAACAAACTGTCCTAATATGAAGAAGCAAAAGCGAACTCCTCACGCAAATGGATTTACTAACCTGCTAGTTCTGTGCAGTACCTTGGTGTTACCTCCTACACACCCCTTTTCTGACTTTAATTTTACTTTTTCTATGAGATTATGGATTTCTGACCCTATTAACACTTATTATGTAAAATTCAAGTACTGTATGTATGCTGTATGCTCTTATAAGAATCCTGAAATATTTATTCTGTGCTTGTGTATGTGAATGTCAATGCAACTATTATTAGAGTGGACTTTAAGCTTTACCGTTGAATGTAAATTCATTATTTCTTTTTTTGTACACTTGTGAAAAAGTGGAGTAGTGTTAATTTTTTAAGCCACTGTTGATTATCAGTTGTTCTTTTTTTTTTTTTGTGTATGAAACACAAGTAAAATATCTTTCTTAAATCAAGCCATGCATGCATTCTGAGATTCATTGAAGCTAAAGCCCTGTGAATTACTAAACCTATAATTGGAGTGCTAAATGTGATTGAAGATGCTGGTATAAAACCAATACATGTATTTTTAAAAAGAATAGAGCTGATGAGGGAATTCCATGGAGTTTTCTACATTACTGTACCTTCACAGAATAAAGCTCAAGTGTTGTACTAATTGGAACTGCGTAAGAAACTACAGAGCTCTCACATTGCTGCCAGTCGCTCTAATCTAGGATCAAAGAGAACAACTGGATTTCTTGAGACATGTCCTGGATGGTTGACGTTTCCAAACTGCTGACAGTTCAGAGCAGGTCAATTAGTATTCATTTGAGAAACCTGATGCAAGTCTTAAATCATCACAGAAGATAAAGCTCTAATAAAAGAATGAATCTCTCAAAGTGCAAACTGCCGAGAGCCTCATGTGGTCTATTCAGTTTTCCTTTGCTACCAGTCTTGTTTTACTGGCAATAAAAGCAATGCCACTTGATTCAATTTCAAAGTCTAGCCTAGAGGAACAAGCTTATGGTTTGGGGAGGGAATTGTTCTTTTCTTTGGCATCTGGACAAACTATGGCTTGCAGGTCACAATTGGGGTAATGCATTCAGCTGGGAGTTAGGTGTTACTGTTTGAATATCACACAAGAGAGGATCAGACGTGGCCAAGACCAACAAGAATCAAGAATTTAAAATCTGTTTTATCCTCCTACTGACAATAAAGTCAGGACACCAAAACTCATTAGCAAAGAACTTGCAATTCGGGAATATATATATTTTTTACCACTTGATCAATTTACTTCTCTTAGAATTCATGTATTGCCTGTGAGCTTATTGTCACTGAGAAATTTGTTTGTATGAATACTAGATTGGTGGACAAAACCACAGGGCTTTTAAAATAATTAAAGCTGAGTTATGTTGCTTCTTAATTACATCTCATTGTTGAGAAGATATTTTACACTGGCCTTCTGAAATACAATCTTGTGCCATTTCTTTCTACTCAGAATTTGGGTCATAGAACATCCGAGGCTGTGGTTCCAATTAAAATTTTCCAGTGATCTTACTAAGGGGAAGAACATAGAACTCAAAATACATTTCCCAAAATTCATACCTAAAAATCCACTCTGGAGTTAATTGCAGTCAGCTTTGACATCCTTTAGGGTCATCTTTAATTTCTCCTTCCCCTCCATTCACTTGATTTGCTTCAAGGACTGCTTCCATTTTTGGAAAAAGTCATTGTGTTGTTAATTGACTTTCTCCCCAAGAGAAATGTGAGTAAGATACCTTTATAGACCAGTGCTTATTAGTACATGACGCAGTGACCACAATTGATACAATTCATGTTGGATAGTCAAAACTTAGATACACCTATTCTGGGTCTTGGAGACCTCAAGGCTCCAATAAATACCATTTCCTCCAGGAAACCTCATCTTATTATCTCCCTAATCAATGTGCAAAATATTTAGGTACAATGAAGCTGGATTCTTCCAGTTTCTTTCCACCAAACACTTCATTTAGAGTTTTCTGTTTGTCTAAAAATCACCTGTTCTCAAATTGTAATTGCATTCTTAAAATGTAAAGTCAATCACTGCCTTTCTTTTACACAGTTGGCCCTGTTATCTTAGTGCGGGTTCTCACTAAGCTTAACACCTTTGTGCAGTCTTTCTTCCTTTGTCCCATTCTCCCCTACCTGTAGTTTATGGATCCCATAAGCTACAGGCATTCATGAAGATGTTCAATTATTAACCTCATTAGAGTCCCAAAGAAGGAATGCGTTCCTCACATTTGCTACTGCTTAGTAATTTGAGAATTACTATTTGTTCCTCAACACAGATATCCTTCATAAGATGGTGCCATGAGTCCCACACCCTTAAAGCTCTTGTAAGTTTACAGAGTTAGGACTTAAATTTTGGCTACACTGAAGTCCTTCGGTTTCCCCCTCCAAATGTCTCTGAAGGAGAAATGAATGAACAGCGTTTTGATATCATCACATAAAAGTTAATCTACACAAAGCAATTGGAAAGAACATGCAATGCAGCCACAAGTTGTGAGTACGAAGGGCATGATAAGGTATGTATTAGGCTCCTTGTGGTGCTTGAGCAAACGAGTGGCTGACTTAATGCTCACACAACTGAACATGTTAAGAATATAAAGAACTGCTGTAACAAAAAAAAACAAACATGCTGCGATAACGACCGTGTGTTGCTTAAGCACATATTAGAAAATCAATATCACTAACATATGAGTTGTTTCTTACATTAGCTTTTAGTATGAGGTTGCTGTGTTCTCTAGAGATTTTTCTCTATCACCTCCATTCCTCTCTAGTGAGTCCACAACACTCTCCTGCACTTGCAGATAGATATATATGCATATGCACACACATATGTACACACACGTATATAACACATATAAAAATCCAAGTCCTGCTTATGCTGCTATTCAGGATATTGCCACACATTCTCAGCAGTAATGCTACTTAGGAAATCTCTGATTGAATCTGATTTTTCACAGTGATGTATTAGGGTGACATTACATACTTACTTCTGTCTCGTTCACGTGCTTTTGCGTGGCTTACAGAAATAATGAGAGGAGTCCTTCTGCATGCAGCAGCACATCATTGCTTCTGCCACACTGGAAGGAGGCGACTTTACCCTGCATCTTGGGTTTCCTTTCATATCCCAGCAGCATTTAGTGCAATCACTCAGACACTGAGGTTTTAATGTCAAAAGATAACAGAGATTTAGCAAAGTAGGTCTCTCATAACTTGTACAGCTTCTCAACTGTTAAAAATGTTTGCCTGTTAGTAGTGCCAACAATTATGACTACTGCATGAAGAAAGACAACAAGTAACTTATCCACGTTTTAGAACTGAAGTCAAGGGCATATTATAAACCAAACATGGTAGACTTGAAAAGCGTATTTCAAAACCAAGATCCTGATAAAGAGCTGGAAGCAGTAAACTGGTCTTCATAACAGGGACAGCAGCCATAAACCTGCTGTCACTCCCACCATTCAAGTCATTTGTCTGACAACATGAGCTGCATGGAGGAGGGAGGGTGGGGGTGAAGGGGATATGGTGAAAAGACATCCCCACACTGGGAAATATTACCCTACCACGATACCATTGCATTAAGACACATAAATCTTTGGATCACCTATTGGGCTTCTTGTTATATGAAGGGTAAAAGCCTCTGCTACCAGTGTGCTGTTCCAGCAGGACTGCCATCTGAATCGCCTACTTGGTAGGAGATGTGAGACCTTCAAGGGCCGTCCTGTGAGCTCATCAATGGTACTGCAGTGAAGCACTGGGATAAGTAACAGTACAGCCAGCCCTAGCAGCCTTCTTCCATTTTCTGCTGGTATTGATGGAAGCTTCAGATGTTTTGGGCAAGATTTGGCACCAAAGATGTTCTTGCTCATTAATTACTGAAAGCCTGACAAGAAATACCAGTTATTACAACACATTGGCCTCAGCCACCCTAGACCTGCATTAGTTTTGTGGTAAATACTTCTTTTCTGGGACTCAAATTCCACTCAGTGCAGCTTCAGTGTAAAAAAAAAAGTGTGTGTTGGTGGGGGGAGAACCAGACTGAAAGCTTACATAGATGTGACACGGTGCCCCAATTAAGATCCTGTTGTATCAGAAACCTATGTTAAGAGGATATGTATCACTCTCTCCCCGGTAGAAGTTTTGTCAGAATTTAAAGAACAGGAAGTTACTGATAGAACTGAATTAAAGCTGTCTCCAAGCATCACAAAATCTACCTTGATCTTTGCAAAATGACATCAAGCAGATGCAATATAAACATAATCCTGAAGATAAGCTGCGTCTTCCTCTGAAGGGTGGCTGTACTGAGCACTGGAAGGAGCAGCATCCCCCTCTCTTAGTGACAAAAGAGGCACAAAAGTGCAAAACTCATTTGGTTTTATCCTCAGACTCTTTTCACACATACAAGGGGAGACTTTGGATGGTCATGTAGAGTCAGATTCTGGCCAGCAGCACAAGCAGAGAGTGGGAAGTATGAGACATTTATCAGCAAGGAGATGCAGGGGAGTTGTTCAGGTGAAATCTTCCACATTAGAAGATAGCAGGGACAGGTCAACCCAGGGCACTAAATGCCCTTGATGTCACAGAGAGGCTGCTCTGCCTATAGATCTTGCTAATGGCCCCCTGGGTCAAGCAACCTTTCACAAATGGACAGCCTATGCCATCTGCAAAGCTGTCCAATACACTGGCTGATGGCAGAACTGCTGGCCTGTGAGCTACATTGCTACAGTTTTCTGTAGTCAAGGAAAAAAAAAAAAATAATTTAAAGTCCCATCAAGGATCTTTACTTAATCCCTTATGTGACTGCTGGGCTCCTCCTGTGAATCTGCAAAGCCAAACTACATAGGTGCTGGCATTCCTTAACGTGCACACAGCTAATGCAAAACAACCTGGAAGTAACAGGTTATTGCAGTTGCCAAAGCCTTCATGATCCAATCAATATTGATGGTGCAGTTAGTTTTGCATTGATTAACTTATGAAGTGAAACCCCTACAGCAATAGAGCTCATGGTGAAACATTCGGTGCTACAGTGTCTGCCAGAATTATACAGCTGTATAAAATAATAAATAGGTTACAGATAAAAAGAAAGTTCAAGCATGTGCAGCCCAGTTGTACTCTGTGCTGTGCACACTGACAGGTCTGCTGCACAGCCCTTAGACTCTGGAGAAGTGTTGTACTAACTCTTGTCCCACTCCAACAGGGAGATACATGCTAACATCCCCTGCACAGAGAGGCTTCTGCCCATGCCACCATACATCTCTGTATTGTTGACTATAGATACCAATGGGCTTTGGGTTGCTGGTACCAGCTCTGAGTAAAGAGATTTGACTGGCTGCAAAAATCCATACGTGCTGCCTGCCAATCAATGGTGGGTTTATGGTGGGGAGCAGCCCAGATGCCCTGATGCTCACTTACCCGCAGGGCAAGTGCTGGAGCCTGCCCTGGGAGCTTTCTGCTCCCCTCTCCATCCCTTCCAAACTCTCACTGCTCCTATGCAGGCTTCCAGATCTAGTAGTGAAAACTGTTTTGAAAAGTGTACCTTATTTTCTGGGAAAAAGTTTTCAGCCATTTTTATAGGTGTGAGGAGCAAGGAACAGTATAGAGTGAGAAAACAAGCTTAGCTCATCTCTATCAACCAGCTGTCCCCATCCTTTCCTGGTATGCATTGTCAGAACTTAGACACCCAAAGACAAACCTAGTTGACATTTGAAGCACAAGCACCCAATGAAACTGGCTCATTTACAAGCCCAAATCTTTTTTGTACATGGCAGTTACACACATGATACCTGTAGTCAGAGGGAAAAAATTCATGCAAGATCAGGTTTTGGAAGTATCAAAATAAATGTGTCTTGGTTGTTCTCCACACCT